GTAGTTACAAATAGGAATAATGTTAAAAAATGTTTTAGAAGGGTTTTATCAAATAATTTGACTCTCATCCCTTGTGTAGATAATACTTCATGTCCTGTGGATCCCTGACTTTATTCTGCATCCTTCTGCTTAGTCACCTTGAGCTTCCTAAGATGCGTGTGTGCCTTATCTGTCTTGCTGCTGCTGCCCAAGCCACACCAAGCCACTGGTTTTCTTCACATGCTCTTTAGGATAACAGCTCTGAGATTTAAAAAAACATTAATTTTATTTAGGGCATATGGCTTCAGGAATAGCTATTTATTGAAAAAAAACTCTCAAAATTATTTTAATTGTGTAATTGTCAGCCTCGAGTGTTTTTGAATTTTTAATGCTTAGGGTTTTTATGTTAAATGGGCTTTACAGTTAACCTGTTAACTGTTGTGTTTTGTTTTACTTAAGAAATTCAGATTATGCTTGTTCTGAATCTTCATGATGTATGAATGATTGTGTTTAATCTGCTTTACTCAGTTGAATAAGAGAAAAGTTTGCTATGACATGTAATAAATCACCTTGTTTTTTTAATTTTTTCCTTGTTTTTTTACATAATTTAAATTAACAAGAGATAAAGAGGTATTACCACAGTTGGAGCAAGTGTGTAAGCAAGAATTTCTTGAAGATGTGTATATGCATATTTATCATGTGAAGACATTTAGCTAAAGTAATATTTCACAGAAATTCTCAGGATATTGGCACTTCCTTAAAAATTGATCCAGGTTAGGTATTTGTAATGCTATTTCTGTCTCTTAACATGAAGATCATCTTTTCTGTGGAAGTGCAGGAGTTGCTGGCTCATTCTGCTGTTTTTTTGCTCACCAGTGAAAGTTTATTTGATGGAGTCTGGACTAGAAATGTATTTGCCTTAAATTATCTTCTTGGTGCGCAGTATCTTATAAAGCTTGCTGGCAATCGAGTTTCTTTTTCTGTTTCTCACCCTCCTTACCCTCTACTTTTGTGGTGAGTCGGTATGCTAGAGAAGAAACAGTGACTTATCCAGAGTTACTTTTTGCTCTGCTTCTTAGCAGAATCTTCCAATCATCCAGTACAGCTCACTGCAAAGAAAGGGATCACCAGTCCTGGCTACAGTGTTGATCCAGCTGATGGGATGGCCAGGGTGTCACGTGGACTTCATGCAGCTACTTCTCTCTGGCCTGGAGATAACTAAATTGCATAGAAAGTAAGAAAGTTATGCACAGTCTGTTCTTATAGACCTTCCTGGAAATGGGTTGTGGGGTTTTAGGGTTTTTGGTGCTGATTCCATCCTACAATCCATATTGGCTTCTTGACCTCATTCCCACGTTTGCATTGTTCTGTTACACTTATCTCCAGGAGCTATAACAAGGACATTTGTCCTGGAAAAGTGCTGCCCTACCTTTGTATGGCCCCCTTCTCCAGCCACACACTGTTCTTTTTCACAGTATGTTATTGCCAGCAATCCTTGGCTGTTATTACAGACAATCCTTGGTTGGCTCCACAGCTATCTGACTATCAGTGTTTGAGACATGCACATGAGCCACCTTATCTTCTAGGGTTCTACACCCCCTCAGCTCTTTCAGGAAACTTAATTTGGAGAAGTTAATAGTATTTCTAGTATACAAATGGTACCAGCAGTACTCCCTAAGCTTTTCCTTCTATCCTTATGCTTGTTTTCAGTGATGTGTCAGGCAGCAGGACTTGCATCAGTAATTGAAGAAAATGGTGGTTTTAATGCGTTCAGAGTTTTCTAGATTATGTGCTGCCATTGGCCGTCTCTTTTGGTCAGAGAGACTATTGCATTTAGCCTACTAAAGCTTTGCTTGATTGGGAATCCCCAAAATGGAATAAACATGGGAAGAAAGTGGTTGGCAGAGTTATTTCTTACTATTTCATAACTACTTCTTTCAGATTCAGGTTCTTTGTGTTTGGAAAAAATGGAGCTACAGCTTTGCTCAGATTAATGTCTTTGATTCACTGTGTGAATGTAGCTGAAATGTATGTGCAGTGAAGGGGAGGGCTCAGACAAACCTGGATCTTGGCTGGTTGGAGAGAGGTCAACCAGAACTGTGTATCAGAAAGCATTGTAGCCACTACCAAGTGGCTTTTGTCTTCTAGTCTCATTCTAACAGTAATGAGAATTTGGACGAGAAAATCTGTGTGTGTCACCCTGATAGTAGAGAGATATAAAGGAGAGTGCTGATGCCAAGGATGCATTCAGTTCTGGTCTTCACTGTCTATATATCTTTATTTGGAAAACTGGATTGTACAAGGATGAATTATATTTTTAACTAATGAAGAAACTGTACTACTCTGGCCTATAATTATGCCTGAGCTAACCAGGTCTTTTCTACATTTGGAAAAATCAGACCTGAAATTCAGCATGCACACAGCCCTGAGTGAAGGAGCTGCTACATTACTGAGAAAAGGCACAACACACATTGAAATGCTTTGGCCTTTATGTGGCTGGGTCCCTGTTTGGCTGCTGCAGACAATGCCTGAAGAGGCATATAATTCTGTGTAGTTCTGCAGTGAGGAGAGCATTAATGCCTTGAGAATATTCACAAGTAATTTCTCATCGTGGGATTTTTGAGTAGTTCTAATAGTAAAAAGTAGAAAAACAGTGGAAATCTGAATCTTGCTTGAGCTACTTCATGACTATATTTAACCTAGGGTTACACTTACAGTGCTGAATTAGGCCTGAATCACTGTATTTCCAGACAGTTAATACTGCTGCTGCTAACTTCAGTGTCTGTGTCACTGAAGATTGAATATGCTGTTTAGGATCTGAGCATCAGCTCTGAGAGATCAGGCCTGGTTACTCAAGGCTTTGTGCACTTAGTCCTGAAAAACCTCCAAGGAAGCCTATGCCTCTGCCTTCCTAAGGGAAAAAATTCTCCTTATAACTAGTTGGAAGCTTTTTTTAAGGTTATCATATGCTTAAGAGTAGTGGAAGCAAAAAAAAAAAACAAAAAACACACCAAAACCAGCAACAAAACAACCCCACAAACAAACAAAAAAACCCCCTAAACCAACAACTAATTTAGATATTTTAAATTTGGGATGAGTAGTGGTTATTTTCTTGCTTAAGAAGTTAATTGAATCTGTATTTTCCCTTCTTGATCAAAGAGTGGCAGCATTTCACCCCCTGCACTGCTTTGAGAAATCCAGTAACTCAAGTTGCAGGTGCAGGGTTAATAGTTATCTAGATACAGAGCTTTATCTTGCCTCTTGAAAAACCTCCAGGGAGTGGATGGATCAGGCCTGCTAATTAAACAATCTAGAGGCTGCAGAAACCTGGAACAGGTGACAAAAATTGCAAAGAGCACCTTGGCTTCTCTCGCCAGCTGGGCCAGCAGATGCTGACAAACCATAAAGGTAGGGGTAGGGAAACTGTCAGCTTTTCCTTTGGCAGAAAGGGCGTAAGTAGAACAGCTTCTCTTTTATGTTTAAATGTTATTTCAGATGAAAAATTTCATCAGATTCTGTTTCCAGATGTGTCTTACAAAGCAAAGGAAAAAACAGAAAGAGCAAGCACCTGTCTTTAATTTAAGTTAGAAGTTTTTCTTTAAAACTAGAATAAACTTCCTTGGTTTTTTTCTTTCTTACAAAATCAGTTACATTGCACAAATTAATATTAGATTTAATAGGCTTTCCATGACATGTAAAAAAACCCCAACAGATTTTATGCTTAATAAAATTGATTTTACTCAGCAAGTCCTATTTTCCTGTTGAAAAAAAGGGCTCTGCTTGTATATTAACATTCTGGCCAGGAAAGAATTTATGCTATTTTGCTCTAGAAGTATTTACTAAAATAGAGCATTTTCATTTTATAGATAAAAAATTAAGGGTTCTCTAGTTTGAAGTGATATCAGCCTTTGCTTACCTTGTCCCTCAAATGTTTTTACTACATCTTTACTTAAAAACAGTTTCTTCTGTTTGGTTTTTTACATCCCTGAACTTTCACTTGTTTACTTTTCTTGTTCAAAACTACTTATGAACATGGAGATTGCAGGACTGTGCAAATGATTGCTACATCTTCTAGTGCCCATTTTGGCATATTTGGTATTGCCAAGCACGTTCCAAAAAGCAATGAGCAAAAAATCTCTTGTGGGTAATTTTCTGGTCTTTGGGGATGAATAAGAAATAAAAACAAAAGCAAAAACACTAAAAATCACAGTAAAAAACACAAACCAGAAACACTGTGCAAGTAGAGAGAATCCAAATCCATCAAGCCAGCCTGGTGATATAGGTGTATGTATACATATACATACACATACGTACATACACACATATATATATATATGTATGTATGTATGTATTTTCTTTTTAACCATGACTTGAAAAGTTGGAATTACTGACACTGATTGTTCACCCTGTTGTGGTCGATGGTCAATTGCTTTAGTTCTTCAGGCTGAAGTGGTTGGTAAATCATTCTTCCAGTCTTCCCTGTTCATTGCTGCTGAAGCTGCTCCCTCTCGTGGGAGCGTTTGCTGTTGTGCTTGGCACTGCAGTTTGCTTCAGCCCGCTTCCTCCTTGCCCCTGGACATCATGGATGCTGGGATGTGACCTGCCAAAGGGCCCCTCCTACTTGCACTGTCTTGCCTCCAGCTCTCTGCCTGGCCTGAGCTGTGTTGCAAGCTTGGTAGCCCTTGTGGCTTCTGTGTTACTTAGAATCTATCACTAGGAACTTAAGAGTGGGTGGAAAGAACATGTCTAAGTTAATTTGGTTTTTTATTATTTCTTAATTAGAGCTTTCTTGTTTTCCTGATTTAACTTCATTAGTTGTGGATAAAGCAGCAACACATTTCAGATTGTTCTTATTGTGTTGCACTAAATACTGCATTTTAAAATCTGTAAAACCAGAGTAAGTCAGATGACCATTTGTAACTGAGTTTGTAAGTGATTGACAAATTACTTCTACTTGACTCAGGTTTTCCAAGGTCTATCTTTTTAATTCTAAAGCAAATTTATTTTCTCTTTTCAAACAGATGAATCATGTAAAAGAGAGATTTCGTGACAGTGTGCCAGAAGAAGTGCTTCTGCTGTGTCTGGGCATTACTTCAGGAGTTGGTAGATTGGTTTTTGGCAGAGTGGCAGATTATATTCCTGGTGCAAAAAAAATTTATCTACAGGTATGTGTTTATTGTTTCTATATTCCTTCTGAACTGTGGATTGCAAAGGATTTGGTTTTGGGTACTATTAAGTAAGCAGAATTAACTGAATGGAGATTCAAATTTCAGAAGTTTCAAAACTGTAGGAAACTCAGTGTATGGCTTTTGATACTAGGAACCTTTGGTGCAAAGCTTATGAATCAATAATTTTTGTTTTTCATGCTACGAAAAGATCTAGTTCCTGCTGGCTGTTTTCAGTTGAGAATGAAAGAAATTACTGTTCATTACCATGTGGCTGGGAGCCTTTGGGGATTCTGTACATTCTGCTTTCTCTGTTTTATCCCACATTATGATTTCATAATGGCTTTCCCCAGATAGGAAAAAAATTAAGTAGTGTTTTTTTAGTAAGGATTTTGGATTTCTTCATCTTTGACAGGCACTAATTTGGTGTCAAATAAGTTCTGTGCATAGTACACAAGGGTATGGCCATGGCAATACAAGAGGTGTTTAGTTAAGGAGATTTTGAAGAAAGAGTCTGGGCTTCCAGAAATGCTGAAGCTTGGAGAGGAAGGAGGATATACACATCGTTCCCTCCACACTTATATATTTTTTTTTGAGAAACTAGCAGTGTTAGTGTGGGATTTTGGAAAAGCTTTAATCCACTTTCATATTGGCAGCTTTGAGTCCTTCATTTGGCCTCTTAAAATGAATAGCAAGGGAGGCATCTAGTGGGGATTGTCTGCACTGCTTTATGGAAATCAAAAATTCTTAGGAAAGAATTACCGTTCTGCTGGAGTATTTGTTGTCATGGATACATTTAGATTCCTTGATGTTTTATTGCAGTTAGGTGGAACATTGGTTTCCAGTGCTTACATATGAATGGTGCACAGGCAAAACTATTACCACTTTTATATTCTTTTTAATTCTGCTTCATTTTGCTGAAAGACAGTTTTATTCTTTTATGTTGAAACAAATAGATTATCTAAGATTGTATTAGAAAATCTTTGTAAGTATGCATGACTATAGCAGTACCTTAGGATATTTTTTAATATAAAAATTAAATGTTTTCACTTCTGTTGAATATAAGGACCTTGAAATAGCCATTCATAATATTGATATTTTTTACTTAAAACAGTGAGGAGTCTTAATTACAATATTCCAACTATCTTAAACTTTTAATATTTCTGTGACTTACTTCTCAAAAACATATTAGTGTATGAGAAATGATCATACACAATCACTGTAGGTTAGTGGATAATAATTGCATTTTCAATGCTTGCAAAATGGGTGGTGGAATTTCTTTGCCTGTCATGAGTTACGTTTGTTTTATATTAGTATGTAACTTCTGGTGGTAATCCATGGAGACTGATTATTTTAAAGTAAATACAGGCAGGCAATCTAATTCACTGCAAATGCAAGGAGGTTCATCTGGTCCCTTACAATTTGCAAATTTGATGCAATGCATTTTTATATTTTTTTCCTTGTTCATACTTAGGTGGCCTCATTTTTTTTTATTGGGCTGATGTCTATGATGATTCCATTGTGCCATGTCTTTGGAGCTCTCGTTGCTGTCTGTCTCTTCATGGGCCTGTTTGATGGGTGCTTCATTTGCATTATGGCTCCTATTGCCTTCGAGCTCGTTGGGGCTCAGGATGTCTCCCAGGCCATCGGATTTCTGCTTGGACTCATGTCAGTGCCTATGACAGTTGGTCCACCCATTGCAGGTGAGTGTAGGCAGGGTTTGTAGCTGTAAATGTGTTGCTGTGTTTGCATACCTTTTAGGCCATGTTTCCCATTCCTGCACCACATGCAGAGCTTTGACATTGGAGATTTTCTCTGTGTGTGCTTGAGAAGATAAAGCAAATTTACCTGCTGCTCATCGGTTATTAATTTACCGCACTCTTCAAAGTTTGCTCAGTCTTCTTCATTGTTACACAGGTGTAAAACATTCCTCAAAAGAAAGATAGAGAAGTTTCCAGTAGGATTTAGGACCTGACATTTTCCAGTTTGTACAAGTGACAGCCTATTGGTTGCTTGTATTACAGAGGGCCTCCAAATTAAAACCTGAAAATGAACTTGATTCCAAAATTTTGCTCATGTTAAAATCATTGTGAGGATAAAGGCTCCAGTCACTTTAATTGGTCTTTATAAGTAAGAATGCTGGCTTTATTCATCCTTTGGTGGGAGACTGACAAGGTGTACAGGTTTTGAAGAGGAAAACTTGGAAGTTCTTGGGAGATAGAAATAGCTAAAGCTGTAATCCTCACCACTGATGATTTTTAGTGGTAATTTACCCTGAGGTTTGGTGAGTGAAGGGTACTTCATAAGACATAATTGAACTATGCAATATTATAAAAGACAAAATTTGCATGCTAGAACAGCACAGACTTGGGGCTTCCTACTATCACAGCTATTAATATTTAAATAGAATTTGACTAATGGGAGGAATTTGGAGCAAGGAATTAGAGTGAATTATTGGGAAACACACTTCTTAATAAGAGGCCACGAGGAATGCAATATATGGAATATATCTAGAATTAGAAAAATGGGCGTATTGATCAAAGGTACCTGTTATCAAAAGGAAGGAGAATTTCTCTTAAGTCATGGCAAGATACAGGTGCTGGAGAAGCTCAAATGAGCAACTTTCAAGCGGGAAAGATGGTGCATATTTTTGATAGATGTTAATTAAGCAATTTTTAATTGGTTGAGGGGTGACATACTGCGCTCTCCATTACTGCTCCAAGTCAACTCTGGAACCTTTCTGCCTCCATGTACACCTCTGTTTGGCCATCAGGTTGTTAGGTTCTAGTGGTTATAATCTGTGCCAGCTCTTGGGTTTCTGAACCCAAAGCCACACCTGTTTTCTGTAGATTCCTGAAGCCCCTTTATTTATGAGTGGTCACTTTCTGCCTTCCCAGGTTTGCTGCGGGATAAGCTTGGTGACTATGATGTGGCATTTTACCTGGCTGGAGTCCCTCCCCTCATTGGAGGAGCTATTTTGTGTTTCATCCCCTGGGTCCATGAACGGCAGAAGTTGAAAGAGAGAACAAAACCTGTTGATGGAGAAACTACTGAGAAAATGCTGGAAAATGAAAGCACTTTGGTGTCAGACATGACAGAAAAGCCAGTCAAAGAACTGGATTCTGGCTTTTGATGCTCTTTTCTTTTCCCTATACCATCCTGACCTCCTCCTACTGAAACCAGATTTTTTTTTTGGCTGAAGATACTATACAATACTGAAGTCTTGAACTATTGCTCAAATTACAAAACTGCTACAAGAACCTTTTATACCATTGAACTTTTTTGACAAGTCTTTGAATTTGATTTCAAGCCACATTTTTAAGGTATTTGAAGTTTTGTAGCTTTAGTGTGTATGTGCGTAGTGATTCTGCGTGTGAAGAGCATATTTTTATAATCCATCAGAACTGATTTCTGGAAATGTGAAAGCTGTTTTTCCTTCACTGACCCAGGATTCTTCAGTGATGTCTATTGTCCATCCTCTGCAGGCACACCCTTGGGTGTTTATACTGGATAATATAGTAGCTCTTATGACTGATCTGGTTTTTTGAAGATTATCATGCTGTTTACAGTCTTCTGTAATTCTCTATAATGAACACAAATATGAAATATGAAATGATTGTTTCATTAGAAAGCTAAATTATTATACAACTTTTGAAACACTCACTTGTGTTTGCATTCATCTTTCGCAGTAGCCCTAAGAACATTAAGGATGACATTTTTGATGGGCTCAGGTTTTGAATATGTTCAAACCAAGCTCCAAGTGCAAACACGTTCAGAAGTTAAGCTGCTGTATAATAGATTATTATTATTATTATTTGGTGAAGGCAATACCCTTAAGATGTATGTTCATAAATCTTTTTTCAGCCAAACCTCAGAGTAGTAGATAGTTTTGAAACTGTACTGACTAATTCTTTGGAGCAGTATTGTGAATTAGACTAAATTTCAAATTGTTTTGTTGTACTTGTTAGGATTTGTTTGTTTGTTTGTTTGTAAAACCAAGACAGCTTTAAAGGATACTTTCTAAGTGCAATACCAAGTTATTTTTAATGTGGAAAAATACACGAGCTATTAAAACAATATTCAGCATTTAAAGATTTTTGCACTAAGTGAACATGCAGGTTTATTACAGGTCTTTATAGCTGTGCTCAATTGCCTGTAGATTATATGGCTCCATATTTTTTCCAAATATAAAGAAATGTCTTTGCATGTCCTATTTCTTGCTTAACACCCTAAACAAATGGTCCCATTGCTTATGTATTCTTAGGTATTATACACTATTTGTCAAGGAAGTAACATCTTTCTGAAAAATGTTTAAAAGCATAATTCTTTGAAATTAAAACACTGCTTTTAAGTTTATCATAAAACACTAATAAGCACACTGCTTATCTATGGATATGGTTCAGCAATCACTGGAATACTTAATCATTTTTTATTTCAGGTCCATTTAATACCAATAATTTTTGTTGCCTCACTTAAAACTGTCATAGCAAAGAGTAAACTAAATGTGATCTGGACAAAACATGTGTTTAAGTACTTTTTTAATTAGTAACTGTTCTTTACATAAACCATGGAGGCACACTGTTTTTTTTTTTTTTTTAATAGCCTTTATAATATTTTTTATTTTCATTCTTCTTTTTCCAGTGTTGTAGTAAATTGCTCAGAAAACCCATATAAAACAGCAATACTATTGCATTTAATGTTTACATCTAGCAACTGACAGAAGTTCATTAAATATAATAATGCAAAGCATTCTAAATATTTGTAGACCAAAGCTCAGGCTTTTTTTTATATTGCAGAATCTCAATCCCTACTTTGCATGAGTGAGGTCTAAAAGAATTGAAAATTAAAATGTTAGCAAGACATATGGGGAGGGACTTGGAGGTGGGAGGGGAAAAAAGCCAATCTGGAAAACCAAGGTCCCTTCAGGTTCACTGGGACTTTTGCTTTGGCACATTGTAAGTACTTCTAAAAATGTCATTGAAATATGCATAGTAGTGTTAATTAAAATTACTGCCTTCATTACTAAGGTGATGCTGACAGCCAATGCTGCTCTTGTCTGGAGTGTTTCTGTAGAATGTGTTATTCAGTATTATTTTCCATTTGGGCAAAGCAGAATATGATGTTGGCTAAGTGTGTTAAAAGACTTTCGTTTCCTGTTGTTCTGTTATGAAGAATTAGTGTTCATCATAGATCTTGCATTTCATGTATTTTTAGCCCTGAGTTTTATACCAAAACCAAAGCTGCTGCTTTTTTTTTATCACTGGTGCAATTTGAAAGGATTATGACCAGGTATCTTGGTGTAATTATGGCATCTTTCCAACTTGCTGCTCTTCATCTCTAAATTATCTGGGAGAGTATATAAAATAATTGTAAAGATATATAAATTGCATGGAAATGGTATATCAATAGTATGAATTAATTATTGCCATGCTGTTAAAAAAATCCAAACTCTCATATTTGCATAAAATTTATGAAAATCCCAAACCAACAAACTACAAAACCACAAAAATCATGGCCTCTGTGAGAAGGGTGCAATGACTAATTGCTTAGGAGTGATTCCTGTGGTAGAACCAGCTAGTGAGTGGTATGAGGGATGAGAGAGAAGCAAAATTTACAGGGAAGGAAGCTGTGCTGGTGTGATGGCGGTGGAATAACAAACCTGTTTCTGATGCAGTGCTTGTTTTGCAGCAATGCTAAAATGGGAAGGGCTTTTCAGAGAAGATAAAGTAAATAACTGTTTAAGAACTCTGTTAGCATCTTTTCTGTTAGTTTGTATCTATGGGGGAAATGTCCAGTAGCAAATGCTCTTTTTTGGACAAAAGCATGAAGTGTTGATGTCCTAAAGCTAGGTAAGATGACAAACAAGCTCAGATTGCTTGTGCTGAGGCTGACTAACCACTGAGAAATTTATTGAGAGAAATAAAAGATTTTGTATGCCCTGGGGTTTTAAAAATTAGATTAGGTGACTCGATTAATAAAAAACCCAACAAGTAAATCACCAAACAAACTAAGACATGAAAAACCCTACACAAATAGCAACTATTTAGTAAAATTATTTAAAAAAATATTTAATATTGTAGAAGTGGAGAAAAGGACTGAATATTCAATTTTATTTTAACTGAATAAATGCAAATAAGATTTTGTAGCAATTTAATTTTAGGTGTGAAAATAGGTTCATGGGAAACCTGCTGAAATCTTATTTTGATGACCCAAATCATGCAAGCCTTAATCTGACAGGGGTTGATTCTAAAATTAAAATAGTAGCTTAATTCAAGAAGACCCTTAAAATACTCTGATGTATTCCTCTCTTGAGAACAGTTCATAGAGTACTTTGTATAGACATTATTCTTGTATCCTATAAACTAAGTAATCCTCTTTTCATTGAATTTTCTCAGGGTAAATCTTCAGAAGAAAATGGATAGAAACAGGTTCACTTAAAATGGCAGTGTGAAATTTCCAGTCCTATGTAATGCTGTTATTTAATACACCAGATCTTAAAACCAATGCTAATTCTGAGCAAGATTTTATTGGTTTCATACTTTTTCAGTAGGTATGAGATTCTTTTAATCTTAAGAAAATTGTTCAGCAAAGAGTCTGAAATAATGGAAACCCTTTGGATTCTTAATTACATCTCAGCTATGCAACAGGATCCAATGTGTAACTAGTAAAGTATTGTTGGATTTGTCCTGGCTACTTTTGAAGACCTGTACACGTCTCAGACCAAGATTTCAAATTTTAATGTAGTTAGAATTTCTTGCATCCAAGCCTTCGTCTGTTCAGAATTAGCATTTAAATTCTTTTTCTGATTTTATTTCCAGTGACAATTTATTGTCCCTGAAAATTGCCCCCATGAGCCAAAGATGCTGTAGCTGTTCTGTGGCCTTTCTTCAGGGTGTATTTGGCATCGGGTGAGGTAGACAACTGACAGTGTTCTCCTTTGGCCCTTCATGCACGATGTGTGGGCACATACCTTCCCCCTTCCCAGCAGAGACACTGGCTTGTCAAGCTGATACCCATCACATTGGAAATGGGTGCTGCTTTCCAGCCTTCCCTGGATAAAACCTTTGAGCAGGCTCAGCCTGGCAGAGCAGTGAGGTTTAGGAGCAGTGGGAGGTGTGAGGCTGCATCGCCCTTGCGAGAGAAGGCAGCTCCCGCAGGTACCAGATGAGTGCTTTGATCACAGGCTCATGGTGTAAGAAAAGGACGCTGCCATTGTAAAGCAGAAGCGCCCTGCTCAGTTCCTTGCCTCGGGTAGTACATGCCAAAGGGACAGGAGGTGCTTTCTTGCAGCCCCAGCGGGTCTGTGTCAGGTTGGGAATCAGTGCTGCAATCCTTCAGGCCATCCACAGGGGCTGGCTGACGCAGAGCGGGCTCTCCCTGTGCTGGCACAGGGCAGGTCCCAGCCTCACTGCTTGCACAGGGCTCAGCCGTGCCCTCTGGGCAGGGGCGATGCCTGGTCTGGGGCCAGGATTCCCCTTTGGAGAGCTGGAAGTGTTACACAAGTCAGAAAGGACCCTCTGCTATTAAGAGAGTGTGTGTATCTATAAATACAATGTATTTTGACCAGGTGTCGTGGTTTGACACGGAATGGAATTTTCTCGGAAGGAAGAGATCGATCCAGTCAGGGGTCAGGGTTGGATATTGGCACTTTGGGGTGACCAATTGAAGGTGGACACGCCTCTGAGGACACAGAGGGGTTAAAAGCAGAATTCCCAGGAGAACTCGCTCTCTTTGGTTCCAGTCAGGGTGCAGTGCAGCCTCTCCCCTGCCCGGCCGTGGCTGGGTGGTGAAGGGGACCCATACGGCCCAGCTTGAGGTGGGCCAAAGGGTAGAGGGACTGGAATCAGACTGGCTCCCTGCAGATGGAAGGGTGGAGAAATCTGCGTTCCCCCAGAGAACCCTTCCTTGAGAAATGAAAACTGTGAAAATATTATGCCTCCTCAGCTTGAAAGAGAGGAAGAGAGACAGCCTGGGACCTGGGATGTTAGGAAAAGAAGATTGTGGGGGGAAGATAATGGAGTGGCTTTTGGCTGGACTTTTCTTGTTAGTCATAGACTGAACCAATCTTCTCCAAGAGAGACTGTATTTTAGGAGGATGCCAGTGAGCCAAGAGACCTGCTTCAGCTGGGAAAAGACAGAAGTGGAGCGAACAGAAAAAAGTTAGGGAGGTTTGTGGTGGTGCCCCTGTCCTCAAAGAAGAGAAGAAGATCTCTGTTCCCGAGACCCTCGACCCCAAGGGGAAATGGGGGGGGACTGCGGTCCCAAAAAATGAAAAAACTGAACTGTTGTTTTTTCCCTCTTTGCAAAGCATCCTTGAAGAGAAAAATCTTAAGAGCCATCCATGCACTGTGGTGAGAGCACTGTGCATGGAAAGGAGAGTTGTCACCATGGCAAATTCTTCCCCGGGCGGTGCCATGTGTGACATGGAAACATAAGAAGTGGCAGCTGTGTTTCTTGGGGGATCTGTGGCACAGGAGAGACTCCTCTCTCCTTTGATGGACTGAGTATTGATTATCTGAAGGGTGGAAACCTGACTGGGGGTCCAAGTTATGTCTCATTGTGGTTTGTTGGAATTGGGGGCGGGGAAGAGGAATGTTTTGGAAGGTTTTCATTTTGGTTTTAGTGTTGTTTTTTTAATTTTTTTTTTTTCCCCTCTTATGGTAGTAGTAGTTTAATAAAGTTTCTCCTTTGTTATTAAGCTTGGGCCTGCTCTGCTCTGTTCCTGATCGCATTTCACAGCATTCAATTGAGAGGTTGCATTTTCATGGGGGCCCTGGCATTGTGCCAGTGTCAAACCATGACACCAGGGCATGCACAAACAGTCTGCTTCTCACTAGAGGAGGTGTAGTTCTGAAATGGGAGAGATGGCTGAGGAAAAAGTGATCCCTTTGTTTGCATGCCTCCCTGTTGACAAGCAGAGCACCAGCAGAGTTCCAGCCAGCCAGTGAGTTTCTAGTCATGTAAGCTTTGGCATATGTGCAGTATGCCTTCTAGTCTATATATATCTTGTGTCAACAATTGTAATGTTTTGGAAGTGCATATGCTAAGAGTAGAGTGATGTTACACTAAAAAGTTTGCTAATATTGACAACACTGACATGTTTAAGTATCTTTATAGACATCATATTCTGTATGTTGTTTTTGATATTAAAGGGTGCACATTTTGCTAGCCTTAACTCCAGTCTTTCAAGTTCTGCTTTGTTAGAAGGGTAAGAATGAATGTTTAATGTTTTTTTTGTGGTGCTAAAGTAACTGTGATCAGTCTCAAATTACTCAGAATAAAGATGGTAGTTGGTAAGTGCCCCATTTGTTACTGCATGCATCATTTTTAGTCTTACTCTTTGTCCTAGTTAGAGCAAATTTGGGAGAAAAACCTCTGAAAGGATACCCCAGAAAACAAATCCTCACGGCCCTTCTCCCCCACCTGGTTCGGGAAGAGTTTTCTCTGAGAGAAGTGGAAAAGAGCCTGTTTATTTAACAAACAAAGCACTCCCCAGCACTAAAAAAAAATTTACAACACCAGATGACAACAAAACTCTTTCACCACTCTGAAGAGATGAATAAATCCAGAAAGTCTTTCCTGAGAGTGGTCGCCCGGGTCTGGGCGCTGGGGATTGCTCTGGGCACTGGGGATGGCTGCTGCAGATCACAGAGCGCAGGCTCCCGGTGCTCCTCAGTGTTTCCCAGGTCCCAGTCCGGAGCAGGTTGGCATGATACTCGGGAAAGGGAAAAAATAAAAAACCCTGGTCCAGGGGAAAAAATTTGGACTGCTTAGCTAAACTATCTAATAAGCAAAGGCAGAAGCAGGAGCACGAGCAAGCAAGCAAGTAAGCAAAAGCAAGCCAGCCAGCACTGGCCTCTTCTAGACAGCAGACCATGGGGAGAGGTGAACCGGCTGATAACAAGGCAAAACACACCTTCACTTTCAGAATCAGTTCTGAAAGCACAGAACATAATACCAAACATAAACAGAACACACAATTGGGGATACAAGCACCATAACATCACCCTAGGACACACTTGTGTAAAAACTGTCATTTTGAAATGTAATTTTGTTGTACTCTGATAATTATTGAATCTACTGTGAAGACTTTTATACAAAAAGTCTTTACAGCTTTTATTGCCACTGTGGTCTGACTGAAATGTCCCCATTACATTTGATCCTACATTAATATATGGTGCAACCCATTTCATTCTAATTGCACTGACAACCCATTATAAGACTAATGATTTAAAAACCTAAGCTACTGAGGTGCTTTGTTTGTGAAAAAATTACGTTCTCTATTTTCTGGGGCTTAATATCAAACTTATGGAAGCAGTTGAATTCAAAAAAGGCAGAAGGAAAATTGAGGGAGGGAGGGAAACCGGTACAATGAGCTTGAGTGGTGTTTTAAAATAATTCTGATTTTGCTCCATGAACTGCCAGTGTAAGTCAGTGGGACCTTTAATCATTTACTGGCCTGCTACCAATTTCCCTTTGACTTACCTTGACTATCCTTACCTTCCCTAGACTTTCACTTCCTGAAACATGAAGTGTTTCCTCATTGGCAGCTTCAGTAAGTCTCAGAAATTCATTCACCTTTCCTTTGTAGTAGAGCCAAATATTTATTTTTTAAATAAATATATCTGATTATATGGGTTAAATACTCCCTTTTCACCTGGGGTTATTCCCTAGATTGCTTGTAGCTCAAATTAAAATTTGAAAAAGATGCCCAAAACCTTTATAAAGTGCCTGGGTGCCGTTGCCATTTCTACACTCTCAATGTAGAAAGCTTATTTGTAAGTGTGTAAAACAACAGTGAGAAGCCTGGGCATTTTTCAAACAAGATAAAATACTGACATGTAGAAATATGGTTTGACTTGTGTGTGACTACTATTACAGTTGAAATTATTTTTGTCTGGAATTGTCTCTACTGCTGGACATATGAACAGAAACTCAGCAGTTTTCTGCAGATACCTCATGGTACAGACTGCACTCCTCCAAAGGTAGGAACGTGGGATAGATCAGGTTTAAATAATATCTGTCAGTGTTACTTGTATTACTTGTAGCAAGCACTTGTAGCAAGGCACTCTTTTAATGTCTCAACGCACCCAGGCTACCCTGAACAGCAAGGGACTTGAACATGCTTGCCAGTGCCAGGAGAAAGGGAATGCGTTGTTCACTGTCCGTGCACTGCTATATCCCAGTATCTTCTTGTTAGAAACAACTCGCAAAACAAAGCAGCGCGGTTTGGAATTATCTTTTGAGTTGTTTGTTAAACTTACTAAGTACGGTGAAATTCAGGGCCTTTCTTACAGGGAACATCAGCTCAGTGCCAGACAGGGAGCACGCACTGAGACCTGTTGCACAGTCTGTGAGCTGCTCCACGTGAGTGGTAGGAATTTATGTCGCTTTCATACTTAAAACTTTTAATGCCAGGCATGTGTTAATAATACCTGTGCTCAGCAGACCCAGCAGCTCTCTCTTCTGAGAAGCTTTATCACCGTGCCATAACGCAGTCCTTGTGGAAGTCAAAGACCGTTTATGATCGGTTGACTGAAAGGTCGAGTGCAGTTTGAGTGATAACACAGACAAAAATAAATGCTGGTTTGTAAGGGCGCTTCCTCGGGCACTGTGGCACAGCCTTGCAGCGGTGTGGCGTGTCAGCTCCTCGGGAATGTCGCTCCCCAGCGGGGAGCCCCGCTCCCAGGAGGAGCCCCCGGCGGGGGAGGAAGCGGCGGTGTCGCCCCCCGGCTCGGAGCCCGCTCCTCCGCCCGCTCCTCCGCCCGCTCCTCCGCCCGCTCCTCCGCCCGCCGGCGCCGTGCGCGGGGCGGGGCGGCGCTGCTCGGGCCCGGAGCGGCCCCCGGGGCCGGCGGCGGGAGCGATGGCCGCGGCCGGCCGGGAGCCGCGGGTTCCCTTCATCCCGGCGGGGGAGGCGGCGGCGGGCGGCGGGCGGCGCGGCGGCGCGGCGCTGCGCTGGTGCATCTCCGGGACGCTCTGCGCCTCCTTCCTGGGGCTGGTGAGTGCATGAGCGAGCCAGGGCGGCCCCGGGGCTGCGCGGCGCTGCGGGCGCTTCCGCGGGACGGGCGAGGTGACCCCGCACTCTCCCCTGCAGGGGTTGAGCATCGCGATGCTGGGTCCCACCTTCCCCACCCTGGCCGCCAATGTCGGCAAGAACGTCAGCGACATCTACTACATCTTCGTGGGCCGGTCCCTGGGCTCCCTGGGCGGGTCGGTGGTCGGCGGGGTGCTCCTCGACTGCATGAACGCCTCTCTGCTGCTCGGTGAGTGCTGCCCCGCCGGACGGCGCATCGCCCTCTGGACGCTTGTGCTTCTCCGCAGCGAGCGCAGCCCCGCGGGAGATGCGCCGCCTTTTGCGGAGCGGTGCCGAGCCCCGGGAACGGGGGGGGCGAGGGATGCGGTGCTGTTCCCCCCGGTGGCCGCGGTGGTGGTGCCGCTGGCCCCGGGCACTGCAGCATCGCTGCCCAGAGCCCGGGCCCGCCGGGCACGTCCGCAGCGGGAACTGGGATCGAGCGGACAAAACGCGCATGGATTGACCAATGGTTCCCACTGAAGAGAACAACCGCATTTCTTTAAATTTGCTCAAGTAATGTGCACAGTGTAGGTGCTCTAGGAAAGTAACAGGCTTCTTAGCGAGGCTGTAGAACACGTGGAACAGGAAGCTCTTTTGGCTGCCGTGTGCGGCAGAAACCTCCAGCAGTCTCGCTGAGGCGCATTTCTATGTGAGGAGCTTCCCCTTCCCTTAATTAACAGTCACCATTCACGATCATTTTCGTGTACTGGACAAAAGTCTGTGGCTTTTGACTGGAGGGCCGTAGCCAAATTTTAACTTACTTACAGTGGGAAACATTAATTACTGTCTGTAATGGTGAAAACATTTAAACTGTAGGAAGCACAGTTGATGATTTTTACAGTTTTCTGGATTTCTGGTGGAGACTTGCTCCTGTAGGAGCACAGGACCAGCTTTGTCCAGGCGGAGTGATGCTATTCAGCCATCCAGGAGCCACACTCAGCATCCAGAAAGGAGAGGCTCCTTTTACAGTTCTGCTAGTGTCTCATTCCCACGGAGGTTCTCAGAACACACCAAAAATAGTAAAGCCCTGTCTTTCTTACTTTCAAGTGCCTTTGTGCTCCAAGTTAGGGATTAAAATGTGTACCAGGGCTTATTCTTCTCCTTAGTTCAAGGAACTGTGCCTCCCATAAGGACCGTGCTGTAATCATGTGGTCACTCAGATGAGATCCCTATTTCCATTGCTAGTGCAGTTGTGGAGTGGGTTTCCTTTAACCTCCTCCTTGTGCACCTGGCCAAGTCAGACTTGGCCTTCTGTAATGGAATCAGTGCACACACCTGTAGAAATGTTGTCTGTTAACAATACTTGGGAAATGATGGATCTCCTAATCCTTTCCAGTTTGGTAGTGCTTATGGCAAGGCCACAATTTGAACTACTGAACCTGTTCTCATTTTTATCACCTGAGCACTGCCTGTAACAGATTTTGGCTTGTGTAGTTTTGCCTCCCATCTTTCAACTGCTGGAACACTGCTACAGAGAAGAATTCTGTATAGAGGAAAAATTGAAACCATCATTGTGTTTGTCAAGGAGATTTTTAAGTGCACATGAACAGCAGGCATAGAGCTGAAGTGGACAGCTGAGCCCTTGCTGAGAAGTTACTTTTCAGGTTTGAGAGTGGCACCTGAGGAGCTGCACTTAGTATTCCCAATCTCTAGTGTTTTCCTCATGCACCTCAGCATGCACACCACCTTCAAAAATGTTTTGAGGCATGTATTCCAAGTATCTTGCTTAGGTCTTTAAGGTTCTGGACATTGTTGCTGTTGTTTGTTTTTTTTTTTATCAACCTAAATTCTTAAATACATTGGGCCCCATTGATGTTTTAAGTATCTGCTGTATCTATGATTTTTTATCAACCTAAATTCTTAAATACATTGGGCCCCATTGATGTTTTAAGTATCTGCTGTATCTATTGATTTAAAAAATAATAGAGACAGCTTAACTGGTACAAGATTTCTAAGAACCTAATACTGTCTGTTCAAGATATTAATTGCAGGTTGTTTTATTATGGAGGCAATTATAAGCATTGAATTGAACTGCTTAACTTCCTCCCAACTGGTAATAAAACAATTTCCATCTGCTAAAAATATTTTTTGAAATGGTGTGTTGTAAGTGTAATGGCAAAACAAATACAGTTAATGACTTGCTGCTAAATTTATTTATGAGAAATTTTGTAGTTCTGTCTAAAACTCCAGAATTCCCTTGGAATACATCTCTCATGTGAGAACAAAATGTGAATAGAAGTCAGCATCGTTATATGAAGATCACTTAGTGGACAAGGTAAAATGACTTTATAGGATTTTTAAGAGCTTAGTTATTTGGGTTCTTTTAAAAATGGAACCAAATTAAATGTAGTGCAGTTCTCAGAGAACAGGCTTGACACTGTTCAAACCCAATGTTTTGCTGGTTTCACACTGAAGTCACATTTCTAAATCAGAAGTTTGCAGAAGACTTCTTATTGTCCTAGCAGGAGGACACTTCTTAGTGTCTCTTTGCTTTAGCCAAAGAAATGTGTCGTGCAGGGCTTATGTCCTGATGAAATTCATTTTTTTTCAACTAAAAAATGATTTGTTGAACTTTCTAGCTGCTACTGCTAACCACGGATTGGGGTATTTACATTGCATCACTTGTTAGGATTATCTGTAACTTTAATATTCATTAATTTAATTGTATTTCTTGTTCTTCTGTGTTATTTAAATGGAAACTGTATCATATAAGTTTTTTGTTGTTTTTTAACCTTTCCAGCGTTATCCATGCTTGGAACAATGTCTGGTCTTTATGCGATACCCTGGTGCAAGGAATCCCTGCTATTGACAATCTTGATGTCAGTCATTGGAGGTTCCCTGGGAATTCTGGACACAGGTAGGAGACCCAGGTTCTTTCGGCAAAAGAATTGGAAACTTCAAGCATACCAAAACAGTTGCTGCTTTTTCTTGTGATACATCTTGAATTAAAAGAGGGGAGCTGTTTTACCTGGCTGTGGTTCTTGGGTTAATCTGGTCCTGAGGCTTCCAGTGTGTGTGTGTGTGTGTGACAGGACTTCCTTTAGGGGTTGGAGAGTGGGGTATCTCTTACTTCCTGGAGAAGATAAATTTGCAGTTCAGTGGGCCATTACAGGCATAAATAAAGTGCCCTGTGCTCTTTAAGCAATGTTTTGTTTTAAATTGCTCATTACATGAAGCTGTTCAGGATATAGTTCATTAGCATTAGCTGGGCCTAAGCTGTCCTGAGCAAAGCCTTGGTGTTTGAGATTCTTACACTGCTGTTGGCAGAGCTGCCCACCTACAGCTGCCTCAGCAGCAGCTGGGAGTTCACAGGACCATGGTGCCCATCTCCCTGAATTAAGGGATGTTTTCCACCTTTGGCCAGCCATGCTTAGGTGGCTGGGAATACAAATTCGTTCTGTCCCTTAGATTCTAAGTCTGTGGCATGTGCATACTGCAAATGGCCTGGCCAAAAATCCCCAAATCCAGCACTTTTGCTGGAAAGCTGTTCAAACCCAGTTTCTTAGCAGAGGTTTATTCTTGGAGGAAGATGATCTCAGGGATATTTTCCAACCTAAATGATTCTATGATCCTGAGATGTGTTGGTGAAGTTGCAGAGCAAGGGTAGGTGTGGTCAGAAAGGTCACTTACACCGGAGGTATGAAGAACGAGTCCCAGGGCACGGCTTAGACAGGGTGGGTTAGGGAGGGCTGGCTTTAGCAGGCAGTTTGCACCAGGAGGCAAGGCCATGGCAAAGGGTGCTTAGAGATGCCTAGGAAATGCTGGCATACTTGCAAATGGAGATTAGGAACTGCCCAAAAGTGCCTCAGTCAGCAGAGCGTTCTGGCATTGCTGTAGCACGTGCGGTGAAGCAACACCAGGCAGCCACTCCTGGCACCTCTCCAGTGATGTCCCAGCAGTGTGTGCTGACTCTGCTGCCCTGCTGCAGGAGCCTGGGGGTGCTTACTGACCAGCAAGGTACTACTGGAGTACTACTTGAGCACCTGCAGGGCAGGGTTATTGCTGAGAGAGAGCTGACTCATGTGTTAGCTTAGCCATCCAAACAGCTCTGCAAGCATCCCAGCCAGGGCCTGGCTAGGGTGGCCTGGCTGGTTGGCAACAAAGTGATGGCTGCACATGTGAATGTCTGCCTTAATGCTGTAGGATCTGAGGGAGCTCTGCTAAGATGTAAAAAGAGCACAGCACAGGATCCTGTAGTGAAGAGATGTTTTTGCGCTGCACAGGTCATGTTAAATAAACGGCGTGCAGAGCCTCCAGTAAGATTGTTATACCTGGTTTAAAAGTTCTTTGTATGGGAAAAATCTTGTCAGCCAATGGTAAAAACACCTGCAGTGAGTGTACTGCTTGGATCAGACCTCAGAGCCAGGGAGGCTTCCCATGCTGAGCAGGAGTAGCAGAAGAAACTCACAGCAAGGCAGTAAAGCAAAGCTGAATTGATTTGGAAAAGTGCTGAGTGACAAGGGCTGCTGTACTGCAGCACAGGAATTTGATTACTGTTTGTTTTCCTGCATTCTTCTGAAGGACTACTTCAAAACACCTCTCTGAGATCTTACTTCCTACCATTATTGTTGATCTAGTGGTGGTGTAGTTTGGTGTTTACAGTGGTATTGATGTAAACCCTTCTGTTTCTGGAAAGTAATTTGAACACAGTGGGGTGGGCCCAGCACATCAGGAGCAAGTGAATTGTTGTTTTTCCTGGTATGTTGTTAAATGAGTTTTAAATGTTGTTTTTGTTCCTCTGATTCTTAGCATTGGGCATTGTTGCTTTTGATAAATTGTGAAATGAGAAGCAGTTAAATATCCTTTTTTAAAAAAGGCTGAAAAATGCTGCAAATGGTCAAGTAGGGTAATTAGAACCATAAAATCATAGGATCCCTAAGTGGGAAAATATCCTTAAGGTCATCAGGTCCAGCCCTTAACCCAGCACTGCTGAGTCCAGCCCTAAACCATGTCCCTAATGCCACATCCACATGTCTTTTAAATAGCTCCAGGGATGGTGACTTAACTGCTTCCCTGGACATCCTGTTCTAATGCTTAGCAATCCTTTCCCATGAAAAAGTTTTTCCTAACACCCCATTGAAACCTCCCCTGGTACAGTTATGTCTGTCCATTGCTGCTGGATAAAGCCACTGTGTGACTCTTTGTTTTGACTGACTGCTCTGAATATCCTCCTAAAGCTCAAGTAATCACATGGATTTAAGGCAGAGTTTCAGTTAATTTCTGTTTTACACATTGTATTTGCTAAGCCTGGCATTATTGTATAGTGAATTAGTAATATAGGTTATGTGGTTTTTTTTTGTTTGTTTGTTTGGGTTTTTTTGGTTTTTTTTTGTTTTGTTTTGTTGTTGTTTTTTGGTGTTTTTTTAAATGATGTCTGGTCTCGGACTAAAATGAATCTTTTTCTCTCTGATCTGCAGGTGGCAATGTACTGGCACTGTATACCTGGGGATCAGAGGCTGGGCCACACTTGCAGGCTTTGCACTTCAGTTTTGCTGCTGGTGCATTTCTGGCTCCTATCGTGGCTCAAATGGACTCGAGGAGTTCTGAACCTGAAGAAATTGCAGGGGCTGAAAAGACAAACCAGTCTGTCCTCAAGTTGGTGCCGACAGCGTCAGCTGCATCAACTACACCAGCACTGAATGACCATCACAATGAAGGCTTTTTGTGGTCCTATATTTTCATAGGGACCTATATTCTCTTCGTTTCCTTCTTGTTTTTTGTTTTGTATTCAAAGAGCAGCTCAGCTAGAGACAAATCAAAGGCTCCTGCGCAGGACAGACTTGCCAAATACCACTGGCCTCTAGTTGGTCTCCTGTTTGTATTCTTCTTCTTCTATGTGGGAGCTGAGGTCACTTATGGCTCCTACGTATTTACTTATGCAATGGTCTTTGCCGAGATGACGGAAAGTCAAGCAGCTGCTTTGAATTCTCTCTTCTGGGGCACGTTTGCCGTGTGCAGAGGAGCGGCGATATTCGGTGCTGCTTTACTGTCCCCTGCCACCATGATCGTGGCGAGCCTCCTGTGCTCTGCTGCCTCCTCGGCAGCCCTGGCCTTCGTGCATCACCGAGCCGCGCTGTGGGTGGGAACCGCCGTGTACGGAGCATCCATGGCCACCATCTTCCCCAGCGGCATTGCCTGGATAGAGCAGCACACGGCTGTGGGAGGAAAAACGGCGTCTCTGTTTGTGGTGGGCGCGACGCTGGGCGAAATGTGCATTCCTGTCGCGGTGGGCTATCTCCAAGGCAGGTACCACCACGTTCCTGTCGTTATGTACACTGCCTTCATCACTTCCATAGTGACAGTGCTGCTCTTCCCTGCCATGTACAAACTGGCCAACTGGCCCCAGCAGCGTGACTTGCAAGAAGTGAGTGACAGGGAGACCCGGAAAACTTTGTTGTCAAACTCGAGGCTTCCTGAGGACGAGGAGGAGGAGGAGCATGTGAGAGAGTGGAACGATGCGGACTTTGAGGTAATAGAAATGAATGGCAAGCAAAAAAACTCTCTGACAGACACCTCCTGTAGGATACCAGGGGATTCTCCAGCTGAAATCTCTCTCCAGCCTCATCTGGACGATGCATTGGGCAATTCTCCAGTGATTGCTGATGGCTCCCCTGGGGAATAAAATGGGAGTGTTGACTGGGAGAAGAGTGAATAGTCAAAGCTTTTTTTAAAATGGAAATGCAGTTGAATTTTAGCTGTTGTCAAGTGATTCAGGTATCCTTTCATAGTGGTGCAGAGCTCAGCATGTTGATTTTCCCAATTCTTTCTCCTCTTTCATTTTCAGCCTGCAGGGATATGTCTTGGAGTTAGGAAGGTTGTCAGTGATGTGATAGGGGCAACATGCTAAATGTTTGGCTATGCCAAAACTGTTAAAATGTATGAGTTGTTCTCTAAATATGAGGCATGCATCCCAGGAAGAGATGCTGTAATAACTGGGAAAGAAGGGGACTACTCAGACTACTCAGTTTTTTGAGGTGGGTGAAAGGTGCAGGTCTGAGATGCTTTGTCACAAAATGATTTCATGAGAGGAGAGACATTTGTTACCAGTAGTGCTGAATTTTCTTACCTTGTGAAGGTGGAATGTTTCTACTGCATTTGAAAGTTGTGTGTGATCAGTTCAGTTAAAATTTCTGGTGATGCCCAGCAGCACTAAATTGAATAACCTTTTGCCAAAACTGTAGGAATTTTTGGTTCTGAGACAAAGACAAGAGAAAACTGGAAGTTGTTTCCTACAAATGAAACCATGCCTTTGGGTCATTTAAAAGCAGTTTATGAGAAAGGGCACAAAATGGGCTGTTGTTTATCTGCTCAAATGCACAACTCCAACCTGCTAAACAGTGGCAACAAATCTAAATAATCTAAAGCATTTCTGATTTTAATTATGGCACTGCCACTGAAATCAACAAATGTACACAGAAGATGATAAAATTAGCACATAATCTTTGAATGGTTTGAGTTGGAAGGGACCTTTAAAGATCATCCAGTAGCAACCTGCTGACATGGCAGGGAAAACCTTCCACTGGAGAAAGTTGCTCAGAACTCTATCCAGACTGGCCTTGAAAACTTCCAGGGATGGGACATCCACAACTTCTCAGGGCAACCTGTTTCAGTGCCTCACCACCCTCACAGGAAAGATTTTTCCCCCTGATATCTAATCTAAACCTACTCTCTTTCAGTTTGAAGCCATTCACCCTTGTTCTATCACTACACGCTCTTGTAAAAAGTCCCACTCCACCTTTCTTGCTGGCTCCCTTCAGGTAAAAGAGATTACTTAATATATGGAATTTTTAAGCCAGTTGTTTAAATTAAGGTTATAACAACTTCTCTGGTTTCCTGTGCCAAGACTTAACAGGGCAATGTGTTACAATGAAGATTTGAGAAGGAGAGGAATTATCAATGAGACAATTCTTTCTTTGGCTACTTGCTCCTGGCCAGTTGGATTGGTGACATTTGGGTTTTTTCTCTGTGGGATTACATGGAGATGGACTCTCCATAGTGGACTTCTCCCTAGTGGAGAAGTAGTGGTTGTATGTGAAGGTTCATTGCTGCTAAGCAGGAAGCCCTGAGGAGGTGCAGCCATGCCAGGGAGCCCTCCCAGTAAGAGGGAAAAAAAAAAAAAAAAAAGGAAAAAAAAAAAAAGTAGCAGCAAATGGCAAAATCTGCCTCTGAACAGTAATCTTCCCATTTGTCAGCTTGGAACTCCAAATCAGTTAAGTATTTTTTAAGACTGTGTGATAAGAATGTACTCTTGTTTGGGGTTTTTAACTTTGCATTTTTATTAGTATTTTTCTTGCTAGGAGGTTTCATTTAATAAAAAAAGGACTCTAGGTGTAACAGCACAGAATGTTAGATGCTCCCTGGATTTTCAGGTCTGCTTTTGTTTTCTCTCTTGTCCTACAAGTATGCAACCTAGACATGAATGGCTTTTTCTTTTCTTCTGAGAAGTTAGTAAGAAGCCAGAATCAACTTGTAATGAAAATATTTTTGTTAATATCTTGCCATATTGCAGAGCCTCCCTCTCCTGCTACTGGCACTTAAATGCCACTGTGTTTTTGATGGATTCCTTCTGTGGTATCTTTTTCCAGTGCAATGCATGAACCCGCACTTTAGAATGAAGCCTTGTGTCACTTGTGGCACAAGGGTTCTGTTTGCTTACAGGAATGGTCCTCCTGCACGCTGCTCCATGTGTGTGGGAGGTAGGGGCTGCCAGCTGCTGGGGAGGACAAATCCCATGGGTGGAAGGAGGGAGAAGGCGCAGGACACACAGTGAAAGGATGGAAACTGTTCTGTGGCAGCTCCCTGCTGGAGCTGCCATCCCCTGCCTTCACCTGGGTTGATGTCGCTATAGAAAAGCTTCCCCGTACCCAAGATCATGGTGCCAGAAGAAAATTATTTAAATAAAGATACCGGGCAACCAGGAAGATTCTAAACTCCCCCAATTCATATGCTAAGTTTTGATGAAATTCCAGATTGGAATGTCCTACATATAAGACTGTTCTCAGGGATAGTTTACATGGATAGTTTACTTTGTATCATTTGCATAATCAAGTACTAAAAAAACACAGAAAATTAAATCAAAGCTGCATTGGGAAATATGCTGTAACCTCTTAGAAGCTTATCTACTGCATATATACGGACACTTATTTGTGTTTCTGACCAGCATTTTCACAGCAAATGTAAAAATGTTGCACAAAACAAATATTTAATTTTTTTTACTGCCTGTATTAACTCCTGTGTGAATAACTTCAATTCATACTCATTTCCTCCTTAAAAAGCAAGAGGCCTGCTTTTTACATTTCCTGTGTAGTAGGAATGGAGCAACAGGCTGGAATGCCAAGGTAAGAGCAGCCTTTTCCACAAATAAAGGATCCAAAAAGCAGTGGCTGTATGAGTGGAAACTGAAGAATTATCTATGTAGAGTCACTTTCCAGGCCTGCCTAAATTTAGAGTCATCTTAATGAGGACTTGGAGCCTTCAGTTCTTTTAGTTCTGGTCTTAAACTTGAACTGGGATAGATGGACAGAAGTGTTCTCCTTATCCCCTAACCAGCTTGCTTTTAATAGCAGGAGCTGCCCCTGACTGAAAATTAAATGCTTGAAGCAATTTAAGTTTAAAACAAGATCTAGTACATTTCCAAGGATGAGTCCAGCTCATAACAGTTCTAGGTACCTTCGATGGCCAAGGCTTAGCTCCCTGCTCTTGGATTTTGGTGTTCTTCAAAGCTTGTTTTCAGACAATGAACATCAGTTTTCAAATGTTTATATTTCCTTTCAAAGTAAATTGCTTCCTGGCATATACAGCTGAAGTGGGGATCTATTTACAATGCAGATCTATTTTAAGTTACAGGTTGTCCAGAAAGCTCAAGAACTTACATGTTGGGGGTTGAAATTACTTGGCTGTATTAAATTACTACTGCCCTGCTTATGCTAGAAAAGCCATTCCTCTGTTGAGGACAGGAATTTTAATCAATGAATTAGATACCTGAATTTTATAAGACTCCTATTTTTGTCCACAAACCCAGGAATAGTTTGAGTGCTCTGCTCCAGTGTGAAAGGTAACCTCCTGCAGCTAAGTGTCATTTAATACTTTATTTATCCTGAGGCACTGCCAAGTACTGGACTGTACTACAAGCACTTAATCCTGGCATTAGCACTTTTATTCTGTACGTGACCAATGCTTGAATGCAAGACCAGGTAAAGTTTTATGCCTTGATGTTTTGGTTTTTTAAGAGTTATTTTACATACAAGTGCATCACAATCTTTGGATTTTCTATTATATATGTAATAGTTTTTATTCTGCTTGGTGTGGGTTTTACATTGTACTGTGTAATGTGATATTTCATAGACTGACTGGTGTCTTGACTGTAATAAATTCTTATCTGGAGAAGGCACTCAGGTTCCTTGGTGTAAATAAAGTTTTCTTCTATTTTTCAGACCTTCTCTGGACTTTTAAATTTAAAACTTGGTCCTTTTCTGACTGATGTAAAACTGGAAATGTTTCTCTTCTGGTTTGGAGAAGGTACTGATGCTTTAGATCCCAAAGTTTAAGCTGGATTTAACTTTGATTTGAGAAGTCTTGTTTTTACATTATTGTGTGTGCCAGAGAAGGAAACAAATTGAGGGTAAATATTAAAAAAAAACCATATAATTTTTTACCATATCATTTTATTCAACTTTAATATGGTTTCCATTATTAACTTCTAAAACAAAATGATTTCCAGTTTAGAAAACAATGCACTGACCACATAATTCCTTTTCCATTTTATACAGTTATACAAATATTCTAAATACACATTTTGTCAAGATGGTGGCAAATAAGATTTAACTGTACAGTACATAAGGAAAGAAAATATTTTAAGCATATTTAGAAGCAATAGAAATGTCTATACAAAACAAGCAAAAATGGAATAAAATTTTATATTTAAAGTATTGCAACAGTCCCACAGGTTTGTAACAAAAATGTCTTTGCACAGTTCCTCACAATGCCCCATTAATAGCTAAAGCAAGACAGCAATTTTTAGAAAATAATGTTTCAAAATGCTACACATGGTACTACTGTTTGCACAGTCTGATCAAAATAACAATCTACTTGGAATCAAGCAAAACTTAGGAGGAGATATACCAACCAACTTTAAAATTATCTGTATAAAAGTCATTGCACATTATTTTACTCAGTTGTTTGAAAAGTAAAAAAGTGTATTTACAAAATATTTCGCAGACAAAATTATAAAGTGAATGGATAATATATAAGTAACACGTCTTGATACTGACAGTTCAAGAACACACACAAATGGTTTTATCATTTCAAGAGGTTTTCAGTGCTCCTTCCTCCAGGAAGTAAACTTGACTTCTACTTTGAAATGGATTTACAAGATGTTACACAGAGCTATTTCAACATCAGCATTATAAAACATTATGTTAGAAACATGAAGAAGAAATTTTTACATCTTAAAAAGTGAGCTATTCATAGATCAACAAATGGGTTGGGTTTTTTTTTTTTTTTCAATTTAGCTATGGTAAATGTTCCTTATTCTCCAGGTAATAAACCCAACAGTTAAAATGGAAATCCTGGACTAGGTGAGAATTGAAAAAGCACCATGCACAATAGTCTTAGTGTGGTAAACACTGACGAAAAAAAAAAATAGCACCTGGAATCCTGTAACACAGATCATTTAAAACTGGTCAAGCAGCTGGCGCAGATAGGGTGCCTTTGACAGTTCTCTGCTCACTCTGGAGAGCTTGAAAAGTACTGGGCAGTTGAGGGAGACACACTGGATCTGCCGATCGAAGCAGCCTGTGCAGTTCTTGCATATCTAGATTACAGGAGAAAAAGCAAAACAATTATTTAAAATGACACAAGCGAGGCATAAACCACTAGGGACTACTAAAATCCTCAAGCCTATATCAGCAGAATAGGCACAGCCCTTCTGCACAGAGGGACCCACAGCAGCTCCCTTCTCTGCTTCAGCCTCTTGGGCTGCTGCCAGACAGCTCACTTGGCGGCTGGTGCGGGGCTGGCAGCATCACCCACTGAACTTGGCAGAGAGCAACAGCAGGAATCTACAGCTTGGGTTTCAATCCTGCTAATTAAGTTTTACTTGCATGTGGTGGCACTTGAAAAAACAAGGTAAACAAGTTGATGGGTTTAAGCAGGGCAGTGTGTTCTATTTGTGATAATCTTACTGTCTGTAAAAGTCTCCTAGTGAAAAAAAGACAGAACTCTTGTCCTGCAGTTATTCTCTGCAGAGAAAAGGGACTAAAAATAAATTACTCATTTCAAGATAAGCTTTAATTGGAGTTTGATCTAGTCACAGTCAATCAATCCCAACACAGAAATACACAGGCCACAGCAGTCGCACTGCTCTCCTTGTTCAAGGAACTACTTGTTAATGCGGCTTGAAAGTACTTTTAACATGAACAATAATAAAATAAAATGAATAAAAGAATAAAGATATTGGAATAAAATAGCAGCAGGCACAGTTTTTCCAAAGGTAGACACCTTTAGGAAACTAAAGGCCCCTACTTTGCTATTTTATTTTGAACCTTTACAGCATTTACCACCTCCAACACTTCTCTCAAAATCTTAGAAATATGATTCCAACACCTGTATTTTGTAACATTAATATATTACACAGTTTATCCTATCACTTGCCTAGCCTGATCAATAAACAAACAAAAACTGTATCCCTCTGCTTTTCCTTTCCATGTTCCATGCTGATGCCAGGGCGGCATCAGCACCAAATCCCTGCAGGCTGACAACAGCTGGAGAGGGGCAGCCCCTCCTGGCCCAGTCCCACGGGTGGCACCTTAGGGATACCAATCCTCTGGCCTGCAACTGTCTCCAGAAGGAACAGGATTTTAACAGCTGGTTCCAGGCTTGTAATCTCAGAACTACATCTATCCTAGTTCTTCTGAAAGAGGCTGTGACTGGTTTAAATGCAAGGGACCAAACTAAATGGTGCTTGAGGTGAGTCCTAAGTTCAGTTTGTGTTGAAGGGAGAAGTCTATGGTTTTAACTTAGAGCATGTAATTTTTGAGTGCAGTTTAAAATAATGTACAGCTCAATGCTGTATCAGTTTTCTGCTGGCTCCAGCAAGTTTGTAATCT